GATCTGGACTGTAGTCCATCAGTTGGGGACCCATCCATCAGAGACGAGACTATAATCTGAAGGTTTCTGAATCCCAGCAGTTCAGAAACAGAAATGTGTGTCTGTACACCAGCGAAACGCCCCGAGGCTGTAAAGAAATGTTTCTGTTTTACTGAGTGAGGTCACCTTTACGAGCCGGGGTCATAAAATCCGCTTCAGTCTGTAATTTGTGTGTGAAAAGTCAGCTTTATGACCCTTTTATCAGTTTGTAAAAGGTCTCTAAAGCTAACAATAAAAAACAGTTTGTGGTAAAGAGACACAGAAAGGGAGGAAGAACACGAGCATCAAATCTAGTTTATTCTGAGTTATTTTCAATTTAATATATAGATACAAACCGTTCACATCATCTGATGCTTTAAAGCTTAAAAGTGAAGCTGCTGCAAATTAAACATAAAAAACTCATTTTTATATAGATTTTTGTGATAAAAGCCTCATTTTGATTAAAGAACAAGTAATAAAAGGCGAGTTGATATAAAGTTGTCTTTTATCCTGATTAAATTAAATTAAACATGTCAAAAACATTGGTTGGTTAAGTAAAAATGCTGTTATGTCCTATAATGTACTTATTCCTGATTTTATCCGTTTTAATGCAATCGCTGATCTAGTCGAATAAAACCCAGAGAATCCACATCTTGGGTTGAACGTTTTCTCTTCTACACCTCCGATCTGACAATCCACGCAGGAATAATTAGATTTCTGTGCCGTTCCCTCTCAGGGGAAACATAAATACATCTCAGCGTGAACCAGGTGCTGCTCACTCGCTGAGGGAACGTTTATTTTGAGAACGAGTTTATTTTAATCTTGTTTGGAGATTATTCAGTATGAAACCTTCTTTCTCATGAAATCCACCAGAACGACCTCCGTGTCCTAAAACGGACTGCAGGTTTCTCTTGGTGCCTTTAAAGAAATCTATTTCCATAATTTGGGTCTTCACGGCCGACCCGATTGCAGGAGAGAGTAAATATACACGACGCCCCACGAATCTGGGTCGTAAAGATTTATGAGCGCCTGAAAATGGTGCATAAACTCAGCAACACAAATAAAAAGTCAGAGACAAGTCCATAAATAAAAAATGTAAAAAGAACAGATAAAAGGAGCTTCATGCAAATCCACAAAACCAGCAGGTTAATGCTTCATAAAACTCTTTAGATAAATATATTTAGTTAGATTTATAAAACCTGTTGGGGATCAGTATCAACTACAACATGTGGAAAATGCAGTGTTGTCACTCCTCAGTAAGAAAAGCTGCCATTGGCTAAAACGCTATAAATATGTTCAGAACTACAAATTATTTTATGACTATAATGCTTATATCCACATTACATTAATAAATTTTGTGAGAATATCAAATTTAACCAAATGTTACAGAGGCAGACACAAGCTGCGTTTCCTTTGCAAATGTGCTCAAAACTTTGTCGATATTCAATTAAAGGGATCCCTGATTAGTTGTAACATTAGACTTTATTTGATAAACATATATTTTAACTGTAAAATAAAGACTGTAAAAATACTGTAGGCGGTTTAGTCTTGTAAATTTTTAAAAATATATATTTAAACACGGACGGAGCCATTTTATTTACACACAAAGCATTCTGGGTAAACGATTACGTGGATAGGTCCTTGGTGTGAGCGAGCTATATCCACCCTGAAGGTTAATCTTGGACAATATCTGATGATCGACTCTTTTAAATGAAACCAGAGAGCGTTGACAGAGAGGAGAAGGTAGAAATGACTCAGCCTGGAACTGAAAATATGGATGGAGGACAACAGAGCTGCTTCATGGAAGAAGAACCTCAGCTTAGCCTGTTAGCCTTTGCGCTAGTACCGAAGCTATATTGCCTTATATGTATTAGCTCGGTGCTAGCGAAACAAACAAGCTAAACTGAGGTCCTCCATCCATATTTTCAGTTGCAGGCTGAGTCATTTTTGTGTTCCCCTCTCTGTCATGTGGATGGAGGACCTCAGTGACAAGAGGAGAATGTGTAGCGCTGAGCTAATACACATATATGGTGATAGCATCGGGGCTAACGCTAAAGCTAACAGGCTAAGCTGAGGTTCTTCTTCCATGAAGCAGCTCTGTTGTYCTCCATCYRTATTTTCAGTTMCAGGCTGAGTCATTTCTACCTTCTCCTCTCTGTCAACGCTCTCTGGTTTCATTTAAAAGAGTCGATCATCAGATATTGTCCAAGATTAACCTTCAGGGTGGATATAGCTCGCTAGCAGCCTCGCATTGATGACCTAACCACGTCATCATTTACCCAGAATGCTTTGTGTGTAAATAAAATGGTACAGTTAAACTAAAGGTTTATCAAATAAAGTCTAATGTTACAACTAATCATGGATCCCTTTAAAGACGAAAACAGTTTCACAATTGCGACGTTTCCATTAAGTAAGAAATGCTATTAAAGTCACACGTGAATACGTTTGTTCTTGCGATAAGTCATTACAAACATGGTGGCAATGGATGTAAACACATGCATGTTGCTACCATGGCTAGCGCACATCATCAGAGGAGACGTCACCATCTTATCGAGGCTTTCGAGCGACAAGCCCCTTATACTTGGGAGCAGCTATGTGTGCGACGTTTTTGGGAAATTGTAGTCGGTGAGTTTACTACTTTCTTTTTACAATTCTCTGATTTTACAACTACTTCTACTTCCTGTTGACTTCATCTTCGTCGTCTTTTTCACCAGTAACAACAGCCGGTTGTTGTTCACGTGACTCCCATGATGCGAAAAAAGTGTTTCCATTGCAGTTTTGCAAAATACACCAATTTCAATACAGCCAAAAAACCACCTCATCCTAGCGCAAAAATAATTTGTCGAAAAAAGGAAGTTTTTTCGAAATTGACGTGTTTCCATTGAGCAAATTTATTTTCAAAATTCTAATTTGCGTATTTTCACGGTCAATGGAAACGCAGCTACTCAGAACGAGGTGAAGAAGTAACTGAGTCCAGTTGCTTCTTCTTTGTTTTGATTTTCCATGTCCTGGATGACTGAGAATCCACTGAAACATATGATGGTAACATCCATCCAACATCCGTTACTCCATCGATAGCATGTCGCTAGCTGGTTCCAGAAATAAAAAGCTGCACCGAAGCATCCAGTGAGAAGCAGGTTCAAATGTAAACACTGAGTTAAACAAACATGTTGAATAATTATTTGCAAAACAACTTTAGAATCGACATGCTAACACGTAGCATCGACCATTAGCTAACTCTGTAAACAGTGTCACGTCTTTTTCTGCGCATGTGGGTCGCATCAGGATCGTGTAGAGTTCACACTGGAGTGAACGTTCACGCCAAAAATCAGATTTTTAAAAATAATCAGAACTGAGCATTAAGACCTTAGCTGTGGCGGCCATCTTGAAGAGGTCGCTTTGTGATAAAACGTCTTGTTTCATGACAGGAACTCGTTACGCAAACATGAAATTTTCCTGTAAAACTAAATGTCACTAACATGAAGAGAAGAGAAATCTTTTTTTTTTTGCAAACATGTTATTCATATAATGCATAAAAATTCTAGAATTTATATTTTTCCTACAAGCCATAAAAAGGTAAAATTCCCACTTTTAGTTTAAACATTTATCATTTATATTCTTTGTCCCAGAACTGGAGTTTTAAGAATCATTTGGTTCATGTTAAAGATTTAAAAGTTCCCATTTGTTTGTCATACAGTTCACACCTGTCAGTCTTCAGCCTCCTGCAGGGAACTCAACACTCAGACAGAATTTTAATGACATTAATGACACTTTCAGTTTTCTTTTTATCACTTTGCACGCAGCGTGTTTCACAGGACAAACTGAGAAAAAGGAGCCAAATGTTAGCACTCAGAATAAATACAGTGCTCACCTGCGAGTTGAACCTGAGCTGGCAGACGCCGCAGGACACGTGCTTCCTCTTGGCTGTGGGCGGGAGGCCGAGGGTGTGATGGAGGACAGCTTTCTGCACCGGGTCCATCTGGAGGATCACACAGAGAGAGGCTAATTAAAACGCAGGTGAAGCTGACCTGTAAATCCGTCGCCGCCCGCCGGGACGTGGAGGGAAAACAGGGCCGCCCGGGGAGCTCGCAAAAAGCAGGCGTCAATCTTGGGCTCCAGTCGATGAGCTCTGCCTTTTCCCAGGATTAATTCCCCCGTCCGCTCGCTTTAGACACAAGCCAGGAGTTTTTATTGACCTCTCAGTGAAAGCTGGAGGCATTTAAACACGGGCTTTGTTTTTATGCGTGTTTTGCACAACAGTTATCTGTATGAAAAGGAAAGAGCAGCTTTTATCCATTAAACAGATTGAGCCAGCAGAACGGAGACAGAGGTCTGTCTAATACGTTACAGAAGTTCTGTTCAGGAGGGACTTCAGCTCTGAAAACATGAGTCATAGCTGAAGGCTGGAGGACAGAAACTTAAAGGATTTAAAAAGAACATTATTTGTAGTTCTCTGGACTAAAAACAGTCAAAAAGTTTTCCTAAACTAAATAAAAAGTAGACTCTAATTTTGCTGTAAATCATATAAACTTGACTGTTTCACACCTGTTCATGATTATTTAAATATGATCCAAGTTTTCAGCCTGGTTAACTCCCTGTGTCGTCCTGTTTTAGTCTCTTTTTTTCTTAACATCCTGCAGCTCTTTTTTGTTTTGGCTTGAACACATTTAGATTTTTAATAACCTGCCTGTTTAATCTGCACCATCTTACTGTGCAGTTTGACTGCAGAGCTAGTTAAATAAGGTTATTCACATCCAGACATAAACGTGTGCATATAACATCCAGCAAGTTACCCAGCATCCCTTGCTGCTACAGTCTTATAAAAGTGAAGCACTCAGCTCTTATACTCTGTAATGACAACAGTGTGACCAGCTACCGTGTCACACTTTTTACCCGGCTGTCGTAAAACCAGTCTACATGTCTATATTCATTTAACGCTAAACTCTGGATCCACCAGCTCGGGACAGCCTGTCCAAATTAGGGACTGTCCCCAGAAATCTGAAACATCTGAGGGTCAGCTAACATCGTAGCTTTTAACTAACTTAATGTACTTTTAGCTTTTAGCTAATCCAGCATTTCTGTACTTTTAGCTAACCTAGAGTTTAGTTATTTTTAGCTGTTGGCTAATTTAGTATTTTGGAGTTTTTTCTTTTAGCTAACCTACTTTTTGGTGCCTTTTAGCTTTTAGCTTACCTAGTGTTTTGGTTCATTTAGTAATTTAGTCACCTGGTAATCTGGTACGTTTCACATTTGGCTAACTTTTTGTTTTTGTACGTTTAACTTTTGCCTGACCTAGTGATTTAATACTTTTAGCTTTTTGCTAACTTAGTGTTTTAATGCTTTTAGCTAACCCAATGTTTTGGTATGCTTAGCTTTCAGCTAACCCAGCATTTCTGTACTTTTAGCTGACCTAGTGTTTTGTTACTTTTAGCGGTTGGCTAATATAGCATTTTGGTGCCTTCAGCTTTTAGCTAACCTAGCGTTTGGTGCCTTTTAGCTTACCTAGTACATTGGTTAGGGATCAGGTAGTTTTCACATTTGGCTAACTTTTTGTTTTTGTACTTTTAACTTTTGTCTGACCTAGTGATTTAGTACTTTTAACTTTTGGTTAACTTAGTGTTTTAGTGCTTTTAACTGACCCAAAGTTTTGGTACATTTAGCTTCCAGCTAACATAGTGTTTCAGTACTTTTTGATTTTGACTATCTATATGTTTTTGTACGTTTACGCTAAGCTAGTGTTTAAGTGCTATTAGCTTTAGGCTAACTTAGTGTTTTAGTGCTTTAAGCTAACCTAATTTTACAGTTTATTTTAGTTAACCTAATGTTTCTGTATTTTTAGTTAACTTAGGCTGTGTCCAAAATGACAGGCCGGGTCCTCCGGAGGACCCAGACTACCCGGTCGCGGTGGGCCGGGAAGACCGGAAAAAAAGAGGCTGTGGATTTGGACGGTCTAGCCTCCCCTCCTTACCCCGGCGTACGTCATGACCCCTAGCAACTGTGATGACGCTAAACAAGCAAACTTAAATCAAAATTAGAAAAATATCAATACATTAGCATTATTAATATCACAAAACTATAAAATTAACTTAAAGGTATCATTTGAAGAACTAATTGACCCGCTGTAGGTTCATGTTTATTTCACGTTTTTTATGACGAAAAAATAATAATTAAAAACATGTCCATACAAATGATAAAAGTATTAGAATTACAACCGCTAATTTATTTTAATTTTTATATCACCATATTTTTGTTTAAAATGTATTCTTTTCTCTCGCTTCGTCCACCATTACTAGCATAAAAAAAATCTCCGGTCGGGCCGCAATGCATTATGGGATACGCTGGGCCGGGAAGGATCCATCRGACCTGTCCTTCGATTCGGGCCAAAGGAAGGATGTATTTGTCGGATGCATCGGAGGAGTCTTCGGTTTTGGACGTCCTTCGTCGCKGCGCTGTGACGTATGCGGCCTACAAATTCGACCTTTGGAGGACCCGTCCTGCCGTTTTGGACACAGCCTTAGTGTTTTAGTACATTTAGCTTTTGGCTAACTTAGTGTTTTGGTACTTTTAGCTTTTAGCTAAATTACTGTTTTGGTACCTTTTAGCTTTTGTCTAATTTAGTGTTTTAGTGCTTTCAACTAACCTAGTGTTTTGCTGCCTCCTTTGTCAAAGTTCTCCCTGATCAAGCTGCTGCCCTGGAACAAGCAGCAGATGATGTATGAATGGATCAGACTGGAAATATGTCGTTACGTGAATAAAGGTCCGTCTGATCCAACATTTCTAACCTCACTGACGTGATATTTAGTGTGAAAGATGCTCGTTATCCTGTTCACGTCTTGTTAATTTATTCTTTCGTGGCTGCAGGCAGAGCAGCAAAGTGAATGCAGACTTCTCAAACATTTTCACAGCTCTAAAAATTAATTTGTCGCCCACCTCAAACACGTCGGTTAATCTGCGTGTTAGTAAAATCTCTCCTGAACCATCGGAAGCATTAACGAATCGTCTACAACTGATCAGAGTTCCTGTGAAGCTGAACGCCTCTCGTCTGTTTGGTGTTTGAGGGAAACGAACATCTGTCTGTTTCTGCTGAGCTGTCAGCAGGGTCCGCTCGGCTGGAGGAGGGGGACGAGGTTCTGGCCCGGCGTGGGCGGATCAGTCCACCTGAACTATTGTTCTACAGAGGCCGAGCACCGTGATGATAGTGTTTTATGTGGACACTGTTTGTTTGCAGCGAAGCATCTTGAGGACTAAAAATATGCAGCAGAAGTCGAAACGGGAATAAAACCAACAGACGGGTTCAGATCAGACAGCTGGAGTTTCTCCTCTTAAAGCACGTCTCTCTGTGAGCAGCAGTGAGTCAAAAAACTACATATTTCTGAGAGGTCTGATGAGGGAAGAGGAGTAATCAGGTGCAGCTGATAGGAACCAAATGAGGAGCAGCTGATCTCACTGAGGGCAGCCAGAGGTCAGACGGTCCAAACAGGAATATGGAAAATTCACTCTGCTTTCTGGTAAATACCAAAAATCATTTTATTCTTAATTTAGAGAAACCTCTGGGGATTTGGAGAAAAGAAAACAGCTCTAAAATAATAAACTGGAACACATTTTATTTAGCTGTAATTATTGTTGAAGGTGAAAGGATGATTGTTTTTACCAATTATTCTCTGGCTTTATTTACATATATTTCCCCTAGAAATACAGAAAATTCCTTATTTTCCCTTTGTTGCTGTTAGCTACACTAGTGTTTTAGCTTTTAGCTAACATGGTGTTTTGATGCTATTAGCTTTTAGCTAACCTACTGTTTTGGTACTTTTAGTTAACCTTTGTGTTTTTGTTCTTTTAGGCTTTAACAAACCAAGTGTATTTATACCTTTTAGATTTTAACTTATCTAGTGTTTCAGTACTTTTATCTTTTAGCTTATCTGGTGTTTTAGTACTTTTTGGTATTAGCTAGTGTTGGGACCTTTTAGCTTTTGGCTAAAGTAGTGCTTTAGTACTTTTCATGTTCAGCTAATCAAGAATTTTGGTGTCTTTAGCTTTTAGCTAATCTTGGTATATTCAGTAAACCTTGTGTTTTAGTTATTTTACGTTTTAGATAAACACTAGCTGCTAATGCTGCTAGTGTCTAAGGACTTTTAGCTTTTAGCTTGTCTAGTATTTTAGTACTTTTAGCATTTAGTTGATCAGGAATTTTGGTATCTTTAGCCTTTAGCTATTCTATTGCTTTGCTAGCTTTGTTCTTTAGCAAATATAAGCTGTCAGAGCTGTGAGGCTAGACCGTCCAAATTCACAGCCTCATTTTTTCCGGTCTTCCCGGTCTACCAAGGACCCGGCCCGCSGCAACCGGGTAGTCTGGGTCCTCCGGAGGACCTGGCCTGTCATTTTGGACACAGTGATAGTGTTGTCCTATCTTTAACATTTAGCTAATCCAAGAATTGGTGTATTAGTCTTTAGCTCTACTAGTGATTTAGCCTTTTAATTTTTTTTGCTATTTTAATGTTTAACACTTTGCTAGTATTTTGTTGCTTATGGCTAGTGTTGTTTTTGTAGCTAGCATTTTCCTTAGCTATCAGTTAGTTTAGCATTTTTAACTAGCATTATGCTATTTTAAACGTTACGTAGTGTTGTGTTTTTAGCTATCAATTTGCTACTTTTAGATTTAAGCTTTTTTTTCCTTTTTTTAGCTAGTGTTTGGCTTTTTTTTACCTTTTTTAATATTCAGTTTTAGTTTTTCAGTTTTCAGAATTTTACGTTTCTTTTTTTTTTAATTTCCTGATTTTATAAAATGTTAAAAATGTAAGAAATGATTTCAGTAAGAAGCTTGTTTGTTTTCCAGCATATAAAAGCTCCACATGAACACAGTAAAACATTAAAAACTATTTCTTTGTCTTCTGATGTCAACTGTTCAAAGACAAACTGAATCTTTATAAAAACCTTATTCTTCCATTTTTATCACTTTTATCTTGTTCTTTTTGTGCTTCG